AGAGTCAGGTCTGACCATGAAGCTCTGCAGATTCCAGGGACGGGACCATCAGTCCCACACTAGCACTGTGAGGGGGTTTAGATCCCAAAGGAAGGCTGTCCGTGGAGGACATGAGTGGACTTGGTCTGAAAAAGGAGAGGGTAGTGTTGTTCAGTCACTAAGTCATGTCTGACTCTTTACAACCCCATGGACTACAGCACACCAGGTCCCCTTGTCCTTCACTATCTCCCAGAGTTTGCTCAGATTCATGCCCATTGAATCAGTGATGCTATCCAACCATCTCATCCTCTGCTACCCTCTTCTTTTGCTTTCAATCTTTCCCAGCATCCGGGTCTTTTCCAGTGAGTCAACTCTTTGAATCAGGTGACCAAAGTATTGGAGCTTCGGCTTCAGCATCAGTCCTTCCAATGGATATTCAGGATTGATTTCCTTTAGGATTGACTGATTTGATCTATTCCTGGTTTACAGTAACATCTATCTTTATGTACTGTTTCTACATATCCTTACTAAAGGATGGGAAAACTTTATAGCCATGAGCGAGAAAGGGAAGTTTTATTGTTCAAATGTTGGATTTTATACTTGATATCTGCTATACACTCCAGTACTCTTGGGCTTCCCTTGTGGCTCAGCTGGTAAAGAATCTGCCTGCAATGCAGGAGGCCTGGGTTGAATCCCTGGGTTGGAAAGATCCCCTGGAGAAGGGAAAGGCTACCCACTCCAGTATTCTGGCCTGGAGAATTCCATGGGGTCTCAAAGAGTTGGACACGACTGAGCAACTTTCACTTTCACATACTGTCCATTCACTTTTGCACTGTATACTTTTTTTTAAGTTAAGACCATCTTTTAGAGCCAGTTCTGAAAAAGGAGAGGGTGATCCCTAACATAATCTTCCCATGGATTAGTGCTTATCACAGGAAGGAAGGAGCAAGATGTTGGCCTCTCCACCTGAAACAGACTAGATTGAAGAACATTTATAGCATGGAATCCTGAGAAATTTAGACTCAATACAGGGGCTGTTTTCCCATGACTAAGAGAGTTAGGTCCTAAGTCAAGTTCATAGAATTAGCAATTCAGACATAAATGATTAGGTAAAAGGAATCACATGGCATGAGGCAGACCCAATCTCATAGGTTACAAGTGCCTGATGGCCATGGCCGTGGGTGCAGAGTCTGATACAGACACACAGCAGCCCCATGAAGGCAGATGGGCGATTCCTCTCCCCACCTCCTCCCGAAGTCTCTGTCTGTCCTCTGTCCCACCTCTTCACTGCTGCAAAGCTCAGCAGAGCCTGAATCACCCCAGCTACTCATCACCTAGCCCATCCTTCCTGGCCTAGAGCCTGACTGGGGATACAGGCTGAGGGGGAAAGGGGGACAGAGGCTTACTCACTAGGATTGCTTCTTACTCCTCCTTGTTTCAACCCAAAGCCTCATCTTGACCATATATGTAGCTTTTGTCTTTTCCCGCAGGACCTAGGTAGAAAAAAGACGATCATTGGATAGGAGCATTTAAGTATAAGACCTTTCTAGCCAGTTGAGAGAGAACCGGCAAGATCACTGTCAATAATAACTAAAAAGGGTCATTTAGGGGACTTCCCTAGAAGTCCAGTGGTTAAGATTCCATGATTCCAACTCAGGGGGTGCAGGTTTGATCCCTGGTCAGGAAACAAAGATCCCACATGCCATGGAGCATGGCCAAAATATAAAAAGGTACCTAGACAATGAGCGTGGCTCTGAAGGACAAAGATGATGTTGTCAGGCACAGAGGAGGAGGAAATAAAGTTTTGGGTTTATTGCTGTAATTAATTGAAATATAATGGATATAACTCTCTTTCAATAAGCAAACATTTATCAGATACTCATGGTGGTTGGCCCTGGGAATACAGATCAATAAGATGATCTGGAATCTGGCCTTCGAGGGCTCAGCCATCTAGTGGGCCAGAGCAACAGGTAAGCAAACTATGAAACAAAGAAATCTAATAAGTGCTAGAGAAAGATCTGCACAGTATGCTGTAGACATCAGAGATGGAATCCCCTCTCCTTTTTCGCCACATCATGTGTCTTGTGGAATCTTAGTTCCCTGGCCAGGAATTGAACCCGCACCCTCAACAGTGAAAGTACCTAGTCCTAACTGCTTGACTGCCAGGGAATTCCCAGGGATTCCCTTTTGAATGCTTCCTCCATGTCTGGCAGCTGAATACAGCCTAGTCTGCCCAGGGAGATTAGACAGGGCTCCAGGGTACAAGGGCTTCCTAAACAGAAGGAGCAGAAAGTACAAGAATATAGAGATGGGAAAGCATGGCCAGTTTGGGAAAGTATGAAAAAATTATCTCTTTCTTCTTCTGTAACCCCAGCCCCATCCGCTCTTTCAGCTCAGATCCTCAGATGCTATGAGTCATGAGAAATAGGACAGTGTCACTGAGATACGGTCTGGAAACATTAACTGAGATCCTTAGACTTGACCTTGGGCACTGGAATGTTTGTGAAAATTCCAGTTGAAATAAGTTTATCCTCTTGTCCAGGCTTCCCTGGTGACTCAGATGGTAAAGAATCTGCCTGCAATGCAGGAGACCTGTGTTCAATCCCTGAGTCAGGAAGATCAGATCCTTCCTGGAGAAGGATATGGCCTCTTGTCCTTGAGATTCCTACAGAAATCACATGTAAACCAAAAGAAACTAGTCTGGATGTCAGTAAGTTCTAGAGCGGTGATTTGCATGAATTGTCCCTTTCTGTTAATAGAAAGGATAAATATAATAATGGTCTTCTAGAACTCAGTCTCCAGAATGGCATGAAAAGGCAGTAATTACCAGTGTCAGTAGAAACCCACATAATTTATTTGTGGTAGTGGCTTTTATTTTTTAATGGATCAATCTCCCAGAGATTTCTCAATGCTCATGTCCCCAGTGAGAAGTTGATTTTATTGCTCTAGCTGTGTGCACTTTCCTTCCTGAAATCAAGAATACAGAGGGTATTCCGTAAGACACATGGCAGGAAGCGGATTCATCCTTGTCCACTTAAATATTCATGACAGCTTGCATTTTGGTTCAAAAAGACACTTGTTTATTTAGATAAGATTTAATTTATTCATAATTTAGCTAAATTTGCAGGCGCGTGCATGTACATTTTAGCGTATAAGTAGTATAATACATAAAACATCACCGAAGCGTGCAAATTGTACTCTGACAGCAGTGGAACCCGCCTGGATGTTTTAGGAAGATAACACATTTCCACCAGAGCAAAGACCCGAGCACAACGGCTGGGGATTGTTTGCCTGTAATACGCTGACTCATCACTCTTCTTTTTACCCAAGGCAGACGTCTCATTAAAAACTCAAATGTATCCAATATAAAGTGATGCTGAAGGACAGCTTTCTGGAGCCAGTTCTGTGCTTCCCCCTCCCGGTCCTTTATTGTTGTACGGCCGACCCCTTCTCCTGCCTCTAACGACAAACAAAATAACACAGCTCGATGCCTTCTGTGTTTACGGCTAATTAGTGACAGCCTTACATTCGCATTCATTTGCTCATTTATTCAACTAATATCTGTTGTCCACTTGTTGCATAGAAAGACTATTCTAAGCCATTCCAACAGCCTCTTAGAGCACCTGATCTGTGTCTTCCACAAGAGAATGAGCTTTCTAAAGGCAGGTACTGTGGCTTGTCCTGAGACAGGCTGGGACGTGGGACCCTTTGCTTCGGTGCTTGCACCTGGACAAACGTCTCCTCAAGCAACAAAATATAAAGAAGCTATAAAGGACTGAAAATAACCACATGTATGCATAGTCGGGGCAAATTATGGACAAGGAGAAGCAAAAAGACCAAAAATCCAACTGCCACTTCTGAAGATTTGGGAGAAAAGCAAGGTATTGGGAGCAAAAGCAGGGTAGCACCCGTGCCCTCTGCACACAACATCACCAAAGGGGTGGGCAGACCACCTAAGCCACCCGACCCTTGGAGCTGCCCCTGCCCTCACCCCATGTAAGGAGCCAGTTCACCCCACCTTGGGGAGGGAGCAAGGGAACCTGTTACTGTTCTTGCTCCCTCCCCCCTCCCCCCACCTGTCCCCACTGCAGCAGGAGTTCCAGTAAAGCCTTGCCTGAATTTTTTGTCTGGCCTCTGATCAAATGTTATTGATTGGGGATGGCCAAGAACCCTGGTTGGTATCAGACTGCCCTGGTATTCTAACCCTGGTATACTAGAGCTGGTGGATAAATGCTGTTAATGGTCTGGATCATTATTTTCAGCAGCATATAGGAATTTGTAGAAATAGAGACAAAAGGTAACTTCCCATGCAAGTTTTTGCCATGAGAACTTTCTTATGACTTGTCGCTGCCCATGAATCTGACAAGCCCTTTATCCTGACTCTTAAAAAAGACGAAAAGTCCATTTCTTGTCCAGAGCTGGCAACAGTGAGCCTTCTTCCTTGGTATGCAAGTCCTCTCTAGCCAGAGCACGGTTTATAGGCTTTGGGAAAGGAATTGGAGAGACACAATCTGAAGAGTGTAAGAGGATTTAAAGGGAGGCGACTTCTTTGGAGTCTTTGCTACCTAAAGGCATTAAAACTTTATAATGCCAAACAATCCCGTTTTTCTTTATTTATGGATCATATATCCCCCCTGTTATTACTGCCATATATTTTTCCAACCTGACAGCTGATAACACCGAAAATTCACTGCGAGCAAAAAAATCCCATTTACCACTCTCTCCAAGATAATAATTTTAGAATTAAAGGAAAAAATACATATACATGTCTATGCAAAAATATACATATTTATTTTTAGCCCCTGAACACATACTCCACACTGAATATGGATTGGGTGCCTAGAATCACATTTTGATCAGAGTCGAGGGGGATTCTTTGAAAAATATCACCCTCAAATATCCTCTCTTACCTGTTAGCTATTAACTTGGGGAAGAAATATCAGAGCTGGGCATCCTGGTTTCCCCAGAGTTGGCGCAATTTAATTTCAATTTGTCAAACGTGACATGATGGCAGAGATTTATTTTTCTTCTTGATTTATTAGAAATGTTCTAAAAGGGGCAGTCTGTCACTCAGGCTATTTCAGCCAGGCCTCTTGTTGAAGCTTCTTTTCCTTTGGCTTCCAATCCAAATCCACAGGAAGGGGGAAAACAACCTAAGAGATAAAAACCACAAGGGGGAAAAGAGAAAAGAAATCCATGTGTTTGAAACCTGATGACAAGATGGGTTGTTTAAATTGTTTCTGCACATTGATTTAAAGCCTGCCCAGTGGAAACCTCGATTCTATTAGCAATCTTTCCCTTCATTTCAATCACTGTAGTTGCTGTATCTTATTACCTTTCCGACAGATGATGTCCAAATATAATGTTGGAGACAATTTTTTTATTATTATTATTTTGTTAGGAGAATGATGGGCAATGACTTAGAGGTCTGGGGACAGAATTAGGAACATAAATAATGTGAATTCCAAATAACCCAAGATAATGATAAATCAACTGCCCATTTAACTATAGATTATGTCCTAGATATATTTCTGAAAATGGCAGTTATTTCAGGCTCCAGGGGTGCAGAGAGATAAGATATAATCTTGGCCATAGACTGCAAGTGCTGGAAAATGTTGTCCTCCCATGTGAAATGAACAAGGCTTGCAGTGTGAGAGGTTGTGTTGTATTTTTTTTTTTTTAACAAAATCACCTTTAATCTCAATAGTTTGTCATTGAGATACCATGGTCAAATTCACCAACAAAATCACCTTTAATCTCAATAGTTTGTCATTGAGATACCATGGTCAAAGTCACCAGCATCTTTTGTAAAAAGACTTCTAATCAGCCTACATGTGCTTCAGCTCAGAGGCGGTTCCCTGTGTTGTTTCGATACTTTCACGCCAGTGTGACTCCTTGATGATTATTAGGATTGGAAATGGTGGGAAGGGGTCTTTCTGGACCCATGTCTTAGACAAGATCTGGTTCCCAATTAATTGTTATGGAAATAACCCAATGATAAAAAATGCAATCCACCCTTTCACTAGGTTTTCTATTTTTACTCTGAGTCTAGCACCATCCTAATATATGAGGATCATAGGTTTTCACTCAGGATTGTGAAATGGTATCTGACCTATATGTGTAAGTTTGCTTTTGTGCATGCTTAGCACATGTTTTTACATATACAGTCTCCTTCAATCTCACGAGGATGGTTCGAGTCAACCCATTTCACAGTTGAAGAGACAGTTTTGAACAAAAATGTCATTCACCCAAGGTCACACACTTGTTAAACAAAGATTAGATGTGAACCAAGTCGGTTTTTTTCCTCCAAAACTTCTCTTTTCTACACCATGTTATGCTGAAGCTGTTGTCGTGTTCACTTAACCAAAAAAATACCTATATAATAGCTTCCTTTTTTAACTTTTTATTTTATATTCGGGTATAGCCAGTTATGGAGAAGGAAATGGCAACCCATTCTATTCTTCTTGCCTGAGAATTCCCATGGACAGCAGAGCCTGGCAGGCTACAGTCCATAGGGTCGCAAAGAGTCGGACATGACTGAGTGGAAAAAAAACAATAAAGGAGATAACTGATTATGTTTTGATAGTTTCAGGTAAACACCAAAGGAACTCAGCCATACATATATATGAATCCATTCTCCCTCAAACTCCCTACCCCATCCAGGCTGCCACACAACATTGAGCAGATCAGCAGCTTCTATATGTCAAACCATCAGTGTTTTCAAGGTACTGAGGATGAAAGTAATGACTGAGTCTGCTCCAAGAAGTGCAATACCCAGATTGGTTTGCTGTGTGTTGGAAGAGCTGTTCATGGGGCGCCGTGAGAGCATATCTGAGGTCTCCAGGCCCACTAGGCTAAAGGAGAGCATCCTGAAGGAGTAGCCCCTGGGTCATATCTGATCATGAAACACTTGCATGCTTCCTCCCTTGGCACCGTCCACCTTGTGCACATAACTAGATCTGTTGATCCGTTCTGCAATTAAGAGCTCAAGGAAAAAAATCTCTGAACGTTTTGTCTTCCGTACACAAGTCAGAGGAAGCTGACCTTCTTGCTAGCATGTTCTTCATGAGATTAAAGAAGAAAAAAGAAACAACTCTATCCTCTAGGCGTCTCAGACAGGCATCTTTAACCAGGTTGTCAATACAATAAAGACTTTTTGAACTGTTTGGTTTAACTTGAGTTCAAGCACTCTGTTCATCTTCCTTCTAGCTCTTGGCTCAGATCCTTATCGTCTACCTTAGTATCCTGGTAGGGAAAACAAAGGCTATTTATCAGGGCTTTGTTGGAGTCAGGATTTATGCCAGGCAAAAATCTTAAAGGTATCAGATTTAAAAGTTAGTCTGTGTCACCTTTATCTTCTGCCTCTCAAATTCTCATTTATCCTTGTGTGAGTTAGAATCATCCCACTGTATATAGTTAGAGGGCACAGTGCTTGCAAGAGACCACCTTATTTCTGACATCAACTGAAACTTCAGGAGGGTCCCCCAAACCAATCCTGAGGTTTGATCATTTTTATCTAGAATGACTTACTTAATACACCAGAAGCCATTAAAATCATAATTAAGGTTTTCTGCAGAAAAAAAAGGATTCAAATCAGCCAAGGAGGAAGACCTCAGGGCAAATGCCAAATGCAAAGCTTAAATTAGTCCTGTGTGGTGGAGTCAGGATGGTCACCTTCCTGCTATCCACATTTAACAAAGCATAAGGGACTTCCCTGGTGGTACAGTGAATAATAACCCACCTGCCAGTGTGGGGAACACAGGTTCGATCCCCGGTCTGGGAAGATCCCACATGCCTTGGAGCAGCTAAGCCCCTGTGCCCAAGCCCTAGAGCCCACGAGCTGCAGTTACTGAAGCCCCTGCACTCTAGAGCCTGTACTCTGCAACAACAGAAGCCGCCACAGTGAGAAACCCACACACCACAACGAATAGTAGCCCCCACTCGCCGTAACTAGAGAAAACCCACACAAAGCAACCAAGACCCAGTACAGTCAAAAAACAGATAAAATAAATTTTAAAAATTAAAACACACACACACACACATAGGAAATATTGCTCACCAGGAAACTCACCTGAGCCTCAGTGTTCTGGGCTTTTATTGCAGCTCCATTGTGTAGGCATGACTGGTTCATAGGTTGATTGATTGCTTTCATGATTAATCTCTGTCTCCTGGTCCATTGATGCCAGGCAACCCAAAGTCCCTAACCTAAATCACATGGTTAGATTGTTTGGTGTGAACCAAAGCCGCCAGACAAATGAAGGCCCGAAAGACACTGACAACAGCCAGATCTCTTTGGGGGCAAAGTTAAGTAATTTACAATAACATTCACAGTACCAGCTCTAAGACACACTCCCCATGCAGAGCCTGCTTTCCCCCTCGGAGTCCCCAGGCACTGTCCAGGTCTCTTTTTGCATTGATTACATTGGAATTGAAGACCACAGCTGAGTAATCATTCTGCTCCAACACTCAGCATCTATATGGTCAAGTCCATGCTCCTGTAGGGTTTCCATGCCCTCCTCCAGGGGATCTTCCCAACCCAGGGATTGAACTCAAGTTTCTCATGTCTCCTGAACTGGCAGGCAGGTTCTTTACCACTATCACCACCTGGGAAGCCCGAGCACATAGTATGTGCTTAATAAATTTTAATTGGGTTGAGTTTTTCTATTTGATGAGGAGACCCATCTTTAGATTTGCCAAGAGTTTGGATCTTACTAGCTGTTTTTTTATTTCCTGGTGGACATTTACCTTTTTTAGGTGTAATTCTTCTCTTACATCCAAGTGGAAGACATCAAAAAAACGTTTTAGCCTTCTACCAACCAGTAAAACCCTCAGCTGTTATCTTAGCTTCCACTGATGGTTACAGAATCTTGTTAAGTCTGAGCAAATACCATACACCTTCGGCATGTCAATGATGTGTATAGGAGAAAATTATTTCCAAACCCTGGAAAGTATAGAGTCCAAAGGAGCTATCCCTTGCTTTGTGTTATTTCTCTAATGTGGTGACATTACTCAAGATAAGTCTGCAGGAGAACTCAGCTCACTGAGAATCAATCACAGGACTTTGGGTAGAAAAACTCTACTATGGTACGAACAGGAAATTTCAAATAGAACATAAACAGGAGAGGTGTTAGGGAAGCCACTAAAAAATGCACAACTGGATGCACCTGGGTCTTTCCCCTCCAGATCTGTTTCTTGTTGCATGTTTGTTGTTTTGTGGGCGGAGCAGCTATGCTCTGAGCGTGATCAGTAGGCGGAACGCTTGCAAAAAAAAGCAATGATTTGCTTGCACTGAGCTTCTAATTATGTGCCAGCTGTGGAGTGTTGCTAATGAGTCTGGAATGGTGGCACAGACTAGGGGCCACTCTGCCAGCTTTGCATGTGAGAGTGTGTTTGTGCAGCTCCGTGCAGCCTGCGGTGCTCCGCACCAGGGAAGACAGGCTACAGGCCGGAGGCTGCCGAGACTCCTGTCATGAGAATCTTCTTCTTTACAAATTGGGAGAGAGCAAGACTCTTAGATGGCAGAATTTCAAACCAACAGCATCTCAAAGTAATATTCAGTAATGGCATTCGGAGTCCCCCTGAGTGATCTAATTTCCAATTTTTTCTCAATAGTGAGCTGCTGAGATGATGAACAGTGTTATCGGCTCTTCTCTCTCCTGCCAAGAGCCAGGGTCTAACAGAGTTGCGGCTTCTGAAAGGATGGGAAAGCCCACGTTTGTATCTATGACACAGGCTTTTCTCTTAGCCTCCAACTGGATTAGGTGTTAACCTTTATACTAATGAGCAGTTTCATCCTAGCCTGGACCTGTTCTGGTGGCTAAGTCATCTGGAAGGTAAACTCTTGAAAGAAATCCATCTCCCCCACCCCCCACCTCCAAATTCCAGGTCATGTGAGCTATAGCAGCCTCAGCACCCAGCCTACAATAGGAGGTCATGTGATGGGGTCATAAGGCCTTACAGAATGGTTCCAGGGAATATAGATGATCCAGCCTCAAACCACAATTAGTGGCTCAGATGGTAAAGAATTTGCCTGCAATGTGAGAGACCTGGGTTCAATCCCTGGGTGGGGAAGATCCCCTGGAGAGGGAAATGGCTACCTACGCCAGTATCCTTGCCTGGGAAATCCCATGAACAGAAGAACCTGGTGGGCTACAGTCAATGGGATCACAAAGAGTCGGGCCTAACAGGGTGACTAACACTTTCACTTTCATACATCGCTGGGGGCTTCCCTGGTGGCTTAGTAGTAAAAAATCTGCCTGTAATGCAGGAGACCCAGGTTCAGTCCCTGGGTCAGGCAGATCCCCTGGAAAACGAAATGGCAACCCATCCAGTATTCTTGCCTGGAGAATCCCATGGACAGAGGAACCTGATGGGCTATATAGTCCATAGGGTGGTAGAGTCAGACACAACTCAGCAACTAAACAACAACCATATATATCACTGTAGATGTAATGGTTGCATTTCAGCTATCCCTTGTACAAAATTATAGTGTAGAAAAATTTTTCAGAAAACAAACTTTCTCCCAAACACTCTACATTTGGGTGGATGCCTTGGGCGGGTATGGGGAGAGCAGATACTCATAGCAAAAGAAGCTGAGGGAGAAAAAAATGAGGTGAACCCTGAGGGCCAAAACACAATGTAGACTTCAAGAGAATAAAACCTCAGAGAGTGGCAGGGTGTTAATTGTTCCTCACAAGTCTGTAGTCAGATGTAGGCCGAACATGATTTTCAAGAGTCTAAGACCGAATCAGACCTGTAAAAACAACGCACATGGAGAAATGAGAAACTCAGGAAGACGGGGGCAATCTGTGTATGATTTCAAATCAGTCTTTGTTGAACACGGCCGAGAGCTCCGGGTGTCAGCAGCCTGTTCGTCTGCCTGGAGCCATGCCGGGCTCAGGGGGCTAAAGGTGTGAGAACGTTCATTCTTCATACACGGCGGTATGTCACCGACTGTCTTTACAAAGGAATTCCAATTTGCATGTTTCTGTGTAAAGGGAACACTTTAGAGACTCAGTCCATCGCTGTCTTAACGGAATACTGCTGAGATTCAAAAAGATGCTGGTTACGTGGGAACCATAGATGAAGACAGCAAGACAAAATACAACTAATATAGCAGATGTGCAGATAGGGGTAATAAAGCGTTTGCTATCAACAGGGAGCTGGCCGTGTGGACCTGCAATGGCCAGCTGGTCTGGGGACAGTGAGTGCATCCCATTTGCCATGATTTGAGCTTATACTTGTGTGTGTCTGTCTGTGATATGAGTGTCCCTATTTTCTGCTTTTAAGAGGCTTGTTGCCCCTGTGAGCAAGATACTTAACCAAGAAAGGGGAAGAAGATTGGGCCACACATAAAAGTGAGCTTTCATCATCGTTGTGCTGTTTGCAGGAGAAAGGGTGGAGCTGCGTGACAAATCACTTCTGTTTGAAATAGTTGGAACCAAGCTTCTAGGACACTAGATAAGCAAACTTGAATGATCCTGTTAGGGGCTTAACAGCAGTGACAAGAGGGTAGGGACACCCATATGTGAGGACATTCTGCTGGTAAGGCAGCCTGAAACTCAGGAGGTTCTGCTTTGGATTGCTTCAATGCAGACCTTTAATATTATTTTATGATTTATTCTTTTTCTTTTTTTAATTGAAGGATAATTGCTTTATAGGATTTTGTTGTTTTCTGTCAAACCTCAACGTGAATTGGTCATAGATACATGAGTTATTTTTGTTTTTTTAAATTGGAGTATAGTTGCTTTACAACGTAGTGTTAATTTCTTATATAGCAAAGTGAATCAGCTATATGCATACATGCTTGCTAAGTCACTTCAGTCATGTCCGACCCTGGGCGACCCCGTAGACGGCAGCCCACCAGGCTTCCCCGTCCCTGGGATTCTCAAGGCAAAAACACTGGAGTGGGTTGCCATTTCCTTCTCCAATGTGTGAAAGTGAAAAGTGAAAATGAAGTTGTTCACTCGTAGTGACCTGATGGACTGCAGTCTACCAGACTCCTCCGTCCATGGGTTTTTCCAGGCAAGAGTACTGGAGTGGGGTGCCATTGCCTTCTCCGATATGCATACATATATCCCCTTGTTTTCGGATTTCCCTTCCATTTAGTCCAGCACAGAGCATGAGGTAGAGTTCCCTGTGCTTTAGTGTAGGTTCTCATGGCTGTGTTGTTGCTTATTTGCTAAGTCATATTTGACTCTTTTGCAACCCCAGGGACTGTAGCCCACCAGGCTTCTCTGTCCATAGAATTCTCCAGGCAAGAATACTGGAGTGGGTTGCCATTTCCTTCTCCAGGGGATCTTCCTGACCCACATCTCCGACTTGGCAGGTGGATTCTTTACCACTGAGCCACCAGGGAAGCCCTAGATTCTCGTTAGTTATATATTTTATACATAGTGTTGCATATATGTCAATTTCAGTCTCCCAATCCATCCTTAACATTATTTTTACATAGCTTAATCTGGGCACCAGGATAGAGTCCCTTTCAACAAACCTTTGCTCAAAGGAACGTGCCATCTGGGCATCACACAGAAACACAAGAACAAGCGCTGCTAGGTCCTTGAAGAGTGGGCATGCCGGGGTCCAGGCACAGGTTTTTCTAGGTCCCAGGAGGTGCATCATGGGCTGTGCTGACCCTTTCTGCTCATTATGACATTCCCAGAGCCCAACCCAAGTGCCACCTCTGAGGGCAGGGACCTTCGAAAGGAAGACCCTTCAGCAGCATAAATTTGCAAGAGTGATACTGTGGCCCCGTGAGTTTATCCTCCATCTGGTTCTACCCTAAAGAGACTCGCAGCTCTGGCTCTGAGTGGTTTAGAATGTGCGAGGAATATGCTGTCCTGAAATACACTCCCGCCTCAAGCTTTCCTGAGGATGATTTCAGCGCCTGGGAGAGGGAGGAGGCTTGCCTTTCTGTGCAGCCTCTTCCAAGGATGATCTTACAGGAATAGCTTTATCTTAAAGCAATTATAAATTTTCACATGCTCATTTATTTATTTTCTCCATCATATTTATCTCCCAAGCGTATAATCATTGTGTGAGCTTTACTTTAAAAACAAACATACATTGACTCCAAGGCCTTGCATTAATAGATGCTCTTTATTCTCATTTAAGGCAGCCCTGAGTTGAGGGGAAAACAGCTATTCACAGTGCACGTTACCTACAATGGCTTCAAACATACCATCAGTGCAGCAACGGCTTAACCC